GGCTTGGCACAGGATGCACATCCCCGAGTGGAGCAGAAGGCTGGAGCCGTCCTGCCCCACGGCTGGGGATGCTGCGGAGCCAGGGGGATGCAGATGGGGGGTGCAGACAGGCTCTGCCCCTCTCAACTGCCCCTGTGCACCGGGTCTGCGCTTGCCCCAGCTCGCGGGTGATGTCAGGGAAATTAAGAGCCAGCAGGAGGGGAAAGCTTCCAGCCGAGTAACCGAAGCCACAATAATGAGGCTGCCGGGGGCCGCTGCCGCCAGGATCGGGTTGCCCAGAGAATGTGACCCGGTCCCAGGAGGCTCCGACGCCGGCTCAGCTTTCCCCTGACAAGCGCCTTCCACAGCTTAATGAAGCTCGATGGGGCCCCATCCTGCTCCTTCCAGCTTCGTGCCATCCAAGGGTGTTTTCCCACCTCACGGCTGGACTTCCTGCCCCCAAAGCGTTGCATTCCCAGCTGCAGCATGTGGGACCCCAGCAATGTGATGCTCCCCGATCCCAACATGTGAGCAGGCATGGGTTGCGGTTCCTGCTGGTGCCAGGGCATCTTAGCCCGTTGGCATTTCAGAGCAAGGAACTGGAGGGTGCTGATTAACTGGGCATCATCCTGCATGCAAGGAGCTGGCAGTTCTCAGCACAGGGTTGCTGCAGTGCAAAGGAGCAAATGTTGTTAGGATTTGCTCTGCAAGAGGGTGATAGGGGGGACTCAATGACTTGGGAGGGCTTTCCAGTGCTGACAGCCCCACTGCCACCAGTTTGTGGCAGATGTGGCCCATGCAGGTAGGACTGATCCAAGCCTCCTTCCCCGGCAGCTCAGTGGAACCTGCCTCCACAGCATGAGGCTCTTGCAATGGCATCTGGGTCCTTCACCACAAACTTTCCCCTGGCTCTTGCTATCCCATTGCTTACTACTCCTCACGACAAGTCATTTTCCCCCTGTAAAAGAAGTTTCCTTGTGGGAAGCAGCAGCCAGCGTTGGCAGGAAATAAGCCCTGATTTATCGTGCCACTCGCCACTCTGAAATTACGGCTCTGTGAGCACCATGGCAAGCTGAGAGCAGCAAATCAGCCCACACCGTGCTCTTGCAGCTGCCAGCAGCCTGCCTGCGCAGCAAGCTGGTGCGGGCAGGGGAGGAGAGAAATGCCACCAGCTATCAGCCGTCCTGCCCATCACCCGGCCACAAATGCCAGCTTTTACATGAATAAGGGGGGGATTTTCCACAGTGGCTTCATCCCAGCAAGGAAAGGAAAATGCATTCCCTAAACCATAGCAGAGCCCCCTGTTCTGGTGCTTTCTGCTGAGCCAGCTGGGGCTGGGAGCAATGGGAGAGCCCCCAGTCCATGGGAAGGCTGCTTGGGGTTGGGAGCAAAGAGGCCCAGCATCCTGCTTATCCTGAGCCCATCCATGGCTTCTCCCTGCCCCTTCCCACTCAATACCAGGGGCAAACAGGAGCATTAGGGCATCTGGCTGCCCTCAGGGCTTATGGGGCCAGACGGGGGCCAGGGCCCCTGTGCTTGCCCCATGCCCAGGATGTGCCCCCACCGCGGATGTGCTGCCGGTCCCCGGAGCCTTCTGGGGCTTGCTGAGAGAACGCAAGTGAAGCTATTCTGCATCTCTAATTAGCAGCGAGGATAATTGGCCGCTCTGCAGCCATCACACAGAAAGGCAGCCATTGTGGAGGGCTCCAACGCGGGGCAGGTGCTGCCAGACACCCAACTCCCACCAAAACAATCCCCTTCTTGTGTGCTCATGACTGGCCCTGGGGGCATCCCCCCGGAGCCCTTCCGGGGAAGGGGCTGGGGATGGGATATAAAGGCTCTATTTTTCCTGGGATGCTGCATGGTGCTGCGACCTCGCTGCCTCCTTCCCCCCCCCATGCTTTGCCATGCCGACGGCAGCTCGGCTCCTGCGGGAAGCTGCCAGTTGAATGCGCCCTCTCCCTGCCCAAGACTCATCTGCAGAAGCCCGGGAGGGTCCCTTGTTTGCCTTCAAGGTGTTGCACAAGCACCAGCTGGTCTGGCCACCCTGCGGGGACAAAGTCTGTCCCTGGGCAGAGCTGCTCGATGAGGCCTCCTCCTCCTGCTGCCTGTGCCAGCAGAGCCCGGCTCCATCCCAGCTCCATCCCGGCCCTGGCACGGCCAGGGGGATCACCAAGGTTGAGGACACAGGATTTCTGGGAAGCAGGATCCCACACAGAGCCAAACCCAGGCTTTGGCTCGCTGCAGGACATGGACCTGCTGTGGATGGATGCACATTGCCGGTGCTCATGTTCCCTTCCTTTCCCTGCCCTTTACAGTTAAACCCAGCGCCCATCCTGCGGCAGCCCCTTTGGTGGCCACACACACAGGGAGAGGTGGAGAGGAGGGGGCAGGTCATGGATCAGTGCAAACCCCAGGGCAGGGTCAGCACCATCAGCAGCGGCTGAGACAGTGGCAAAGGGAACACAAACCCCAGGAGGTGGGGAGGACCCCCAGGGGTTTGGGGTCAGGCACGATGGGAGCCGCAGCTGGGCACTGAGTCCCCCTTGGTGCCAGCGATGCGGTCTCCTGGCTGTGCTGTGGCAACGGCCTTGCTCCCAATGCATGCCTTAGGGATGGGTTTGCCTGGGGAAGGCGGCGCGGGGCTGACGGAAGCGGGAGCAGCCCGAGAGGCTGCCGGGGAAGCTCTAATCCGTTTAGCAAAGCGCTTGCTTTGCCATTCCCGAGGCATGTGCCAGAGGAGGTGCAGGCAGAGGCAGGCGGTGCGGCAGGACAGGCGGACAAGGGCAGCAATCCCGCTCCCTGGGATGAGCCGGGAGATGCCTTCCTCCCAAGGCTTGCTGCAGGATCCCAGGGGCTGCTCTGCAGGAGGCTCCAGCCCTGCTCTCCCAGAGAGGGTGATATAAAATGGGGGCAAAGCCCCAGGATGGCCCCGGCAGCTCCAGTGCCTTGGACGTGCTGCATCCCTCCTGCCCCAGGGCTGCACGGGCAGCCCAAACCATGCAGGTACCACCCCGGGGAGGGAGTAATGAGCCTCTTCCAGCCCCATGCACCCCGCAGGGACCCCACTGCTCGCTGCAGCGATCCCAAAATCACAGCCATAATGCCCCGTGTGCCTCCACAGCAAACACCCTGGGGCAAACGGGGGCTGGGGGGATGAGCACCGGCCCCTGGGCAGGCAGAGCCCCCCGGCAGCACCCAGGCTCAGCCTAAGCCGCCTTGCAGAGCCTCAGCTCCTGCCAGGTGCCGTGCCTTGCGGCTGAGGGGATTAGGGGAGCTCTGGGGGGTGCCCTGCTGTCAGCTTGGCCCCACAGCATCCGGGAGCCGCTGGTGCAGCTGAACCCCTTCGGCTGCGGGGCTTGGAGCAGGAGCCAGGGCTTCGCACAGGGTAAGACGACGTCAAACGCGTCCCAGGGAGGTGAGGGGGGGATGCCAGCCCCCAGACCTGCCCGCAGGCTGTCCCCGCTGGGGTCCCAGCCCTTTATGCATCCACGGGGAGCAGAAGGGACCCCACACCCAGGGCTGAGAGCACCTGATCCACCAGTGGTGCCAGCCCCAGCCTGGCAGGGTGAGCACAGCCCTGGGGCATCCCTGGCCCCACAGTCAGTGTGTGGGGCCAGAGCTGCAGCCCGGACCCCTTCCCCGGGAGCCCTGGATGCCATGGGTGGGCTATGGGGTGATGGGCACAGCGTGCAGAACAGGGCTATGAGTGTACCAAACTGTAGGTGCTCTGGCAGGCACAGCAGCCGGGCAGGACCTGTGAGACCCACAACTGCCTTCCCACCCGACAGAGACACCACCAAGCCGGGAGGAACAGGCAAACCCGAAACCGGGGTGGGGTGCGGGGGCACACACTGGAGGCAGACAGCGATCCCCACTCAACAGAACCCAGCAGGAGCTGGGAAGTGCCTAAACGAGTCAGGGAGCTGCCCTGCTAAAGTGGGGTTCATTTCCCAACCAACAAGCGACCATCGGCACAGGTTGGAGCCCATTTCAACCCCCCCCCACCACCACCACCAACAACCAGGAAAAGACTCAGGGTGACTGCACGGTCACAGCGCACCGAGCCCCGGCATCCCATCGCCATCGGGGGGACATTGCCACCTCCATCACCGTGTGTGCTGCAGCAAGCCCCGGCCAACCCACCGATGCCAACCTCCCTCCTGACCCCAAACCTGCCGGGAGCCGCATCGGGGACGGGGGGGGGACGGGGGGTACCTTTGGACGTGGGGAACGCGGCAGAGCGGGGCTGGCTGCGTCTCGCCGGGGCTGGCTCTGCACATCGGCAGGAAGGTCACGGCAGATGGGGAGGAGGGGGGTAAAGATCAGCATGGAGATTAGGGAAGCATTTTTAGCCAACCAATCGCCGCCCCCGTGTAACGACTCCTTGGCCGCACAAGGTGAAAACGCGACCGTGGAGATGGAGATGGGGATGGACGGGAATAAGCCCGGAGCCCCGAGGCTGGCGGCGGTGGTGGCTGGGGGTCCCCAGCCTCCCCGTGCTCCTCTGTGTGTGTTCATCAATCCCCTCCCGTTCTTCCCTTGCCCTTCGAGCCTGCTTTGCACCCTGCCAACCAGGGACAGGTCGAGGGGTGCCTTGTGTGAAGCTCCCATGGGTCTGGGGTGTTCGAGGGGTGCTCAGACCTCCGGGCAGGGCAGAAGCAGCCGCGCTCTATGGGGGGGACATTGCACACAGGAACACAGCTCCGGTCCCTTTATCCCCCTGCCTGGGGCCACCGCATCTCCCTCCCCCCCGGCTATGGGGCACAAAGCGGACTCTGCGCTGCTCCAGCGAGCCCCGAGCCCTTTGCCGGGGTGCGAGCGGGGCAGGGAGCACGTCGGGGAGCGCCGCAGCCGGGCTCCAAAGGGCACTGCCACGGGGATGGGCTGCGGGGGTGCCCAAGCGGGGCTCCTCTCCCCGGTACCCGCAGGGTGGCAGCGGGCAGCGCCCCACGGCCGGGGGGCAGCCGAGCGGGTCGGGCTCAGTATGGGATGCGATCGCGGGGGTGAGCGCCCGTCAGGCACCGCGGAGGGCAACCCCGCGCCCCATTTGCGCGCTCTGCTCAGGCACCGCCGCCGTCACCCTCGTCTGCAGGGGACCTTCGGGAGGCCGGAAGCGGCCGCTCGGCGCCTGCCCCCTCCTTTCCGGTCTCGGGGCCGCCGCCGCAGCCACGGTGAGGCCGCGCTCGGGGCCCGCATCGGCCTCGCATCGGCGCCATCGCTCGGCGGGGCCGCGGGGCCGCTGCGGGGCAGGGCCGGGGAGGCGCGGCCCGGGCCCCCGCGGAGGGATTGCCGCGGTGGGGGGGCTCCAGCTCCGAAGCTGACGGGGCGGGAGCGGCCGCGGGGCGCTAGGCCGCGGGGAGGGCCCGCTACCGGGCAGCCAGGCTTTGGCGCTGTGGCGGCGGCAGGGGCAGGCCGCGGCGGGAGCCCCGTTGTGACACCGGGGTGTCCCCAGCCCTGAGCACCGGCACCGGTTCCCGCTGCTCGAGGCAGAGCCTCCCGTTGGCGGCCCCTGCGTGTCGGGAAGCGTTGGGCCGCGGGGTGCGGCGGCAGCGGTGTGGCTCTGGTGCACGGGTATGGGGCTCGGGTGCGCTTCCGGACCCTCCGGGAGGGCAGTGTGAGCGGCTTCCTCGGCTCCGGACTTAGGTGGATTGACGAGAGCGGCACAACTGAGCCCGGGTCTGGGGCGGTGGAGCCGAAACAAGGCTCACCCCGAGCTGTATCTCTGCCCCACTTGTGTCAGCCCTTGTCTCGGCTGAGAGCAGATCGTTCGTAGTCTTTAACACAGTGATGTGGTTTCATGTTAATGCTCAGAAGTTCAGATTGCTGTTTTCCTTCACAGCAAAACCATGGGAAGGGATGCCCAGCAGCCCAGGTGTTGAAATCCTTACAAACTAGCAGTGGTTTTGTTTAGTTGCTTCTGGTAGACTCCTGAATGCGTTTACTTTAAATTGGCAGCATTTACTGTCTACCTCTAATCTCATTTAGATGTTGATGCCCAAGAAGAACCGAATTGCCATCTATGAGCTCCTTTTTAAGGAGGGAGTGATGGTGGCCAAGAAAGATGTCCACATGCCAAAGCACCCCGAGCTCGTGGACAAGAACGTGCCCAACCTCCATGTCATGAAAGCCATGCAGGTATGGAGGCGAGGGTCAGATGCCACCAGCCGCAGCCTGGGCACACCAGGGTGCTGTCTACCTGTCAGCAAGCATCATCAGCCATGAGCAGATAAACACAGTCAGAAGTTGCATGGGCTGTTTCTTTCCTATTACAGCTATTTCCCATTTTTCCCATTTCCTCTTTGATTTATTGTTCCCCTCAGACCACAGGTTGTTCTTTTGTGGATGCATCTCTAGTTCCCTTTCTGAAGCTATGACCCCTGTGTGTGTGTGTGTGTGGTAGCCTTGTGTTTTTCACAGCGTAGAAACGATGCTGTAATTTAGACCTGTGCCTGTGAACCCCCCCACATACCCTCGATGAGCTCTTGTGTTCATAAAGCCATCTGGTGAGGGTATTGATCAGAGGTGTTGAATGAGGATCAGGCTCAGACGTGAAGTAATGCAGAGTTCTCTCTCTAGTCTCTGAAATCCCGTGGTTATGTGAAAGAGCAGTTTGCATGGAGGCATTTCTACTGGTACCTGACCAACGAGGGCATCCAGTACCTGCGCGATTACCTTCACCTGCCCCCTGAGATCGTCCCTGCAACCCTGCGCCGGAGCCGCCCAGAGACAGGCAGACCACGGCCCAAAGGTGAGCTGAGAGGGGGCTGTGCTCAGGAGGAGAAGAAGGGGACAGGTTGAGTGTGCTGGTGCAGGTGTAGTGCGCAGTCAGCTGGACATCAGCTTCCGGAGCAGAGCAGTGTCAGTTGTTGTGATTTTTGGACTTCTGAACGTGAGCAAATCAAGGAGACGTGTAGGTTTTACTGCTTCAGTATTTGGCACTCATCTGATGGCCACTGGCCTACTGAGAGGGGGCTAAAGAAAGCTGTGAGGCTGACTGGGTGAGCCGCTTTGAGTGAGAGATTGGGCTTGTGGTGACACTGGTGCCTGGAAGAGCAGGCCTGCTGGAACTGCAGGCTCTGGGTTGAAGCACCAGTTGGTTCCCAGACATGGCTGAGGTCTAGGACAAGGGATGTCTCTGGCTTTCTGGGGCTTTTCAGAAGTGGTTCTTGTCATTTGGGAAGGGCTTGCTGCAATCCTTCTCTGTTGTTTGGGAAGGAGGATGGTGTGTGTGCTGCCCACCTAGTGCAGCAGGAGCAGGGAACCTTGTCTCTGGCTGAGTTAGAAGAACTGCCTGGAAGGCTGGTGTGTGAAAGTTGAGTGGCTTTGGCTGGGGTGGGTGAAATGGGGAACAAACTTGGGGTGCAGGATTTGGTGACTGAGTGAAAGCCAAACCCTGTGTGGTAGATGTGCTTCACATGGGAGTTAGAGCTTGGTACCGGTGGGCAAGTTAAACATCCATCATTCTGGTTTTATCCTGTGTGTTTCTGGGCAAGTCCCATTATTAAAGCTCTCTTCACTTTTCTAAAGGTTTACAACAAACACGTATGATGTGTTGGGTTTGTAGCTGGTTTTGTTTTCGTGGTGGGTTTTCATACCCCAAAGTGAAGGAGATGGTGGTCATGCAAACAGATGTGCTGCTGATACTGAGTGCTCGCTTGCCTGCAGCTGCCTCTGCATGGGTGCCTCCCTGCAAAATGTCTTGTAGACCCACCTGCAGATGGCTGAAACCTGTTTCCAGAAGGTGTTCTGGTTGCAGATAGGTATATTAAATGATGAGATTCTGAGTTGCAAACCTGCCCCTCTAGGCCACCCAAGGCAGAGGGTACGCTTTTTCCTTGTGTATGCTTGGTATTGGCCTGTGAATGACTTGTGAACCATTTTGGTATCCTTTCTGGTGAGCAAAGTCATAGAACAGTGCAGTGTAAATAAACTTGAGGTGGATGTGCTGAAGCCACCATGCCCCTTGGTTCAGTTCTAAACAAGTTACTGTGTTCCAAGCTAGTAATTCGGAGTAGGAAGGATGATTATGTTGCTTGTATGTGCTTAGAGATGCTCTGCAAAAACCCTTACGCTTGGTTTTCCTGGTTTCTTCTGTCCAGCAGTAGAGAAGAAAACCCAGTGCAGCACATGGACAGTAAAATTGCCCAGAAGGTCTTGGGGGAGATAAAAACTTCTGGAAACTTAAGGGAAAGGAGGGAGAGAATCACTGCAGCTGTGGTTGGCAGGACAGCATTGCAAGGTCTCTAGGGGCAAGAAATGCATCTTCTCCTTCAAGGCAGGTGATGGTAGGTTTGTCTGCCTTGTGTGGAGTTGCCTCTTGTGTTTACCAAGAATAATGTAGGATGTCACCCTGCCCATAAAGACCTACTCTGTGAGAGGGGAGTCCTGCATGACAGAGCTCTTGGTAGCAGTCCACTCTTCCTGCTTCTGAGCTGTGTCATACCCCATTAGCAAGGTGCTAGATGCTGCGCTTCACCTCCATTGCCTGCAATTTGTTCTTTAGCTTAACAAAACTGTAGCATCATGTGCTTCAAAGGAAAGCATTGCATTGGAATTAGGAAGGTGTTGGTTTCTTTGATCTCTGAGAAGCTTTGGATGTTGCCAAATTTATTCTTTGGATGCTGTGTTTATCCAGCAAGCTGAAGAAATTATGTCTCTAGCAGGAGCGAGGGGCTAAAACTTGCTCAGGGTTTTTGCAGAGGGGCAGCTTCACTGTACAGCATTGCAGCCCTTCTCACGGCAGTGCCAGTGACCTCAACTGGTCCACACCTTGGCAGGGTTAGCTGGTAGGGCTGCACATACTGGCTGTGTTTCTGTGTGGATCACCTGCCTGCAGACTAAAGGTTGCAGAGCGTGTGTGGGTGGTGGTGCAGAACTTATGGGTCTTGCTTGACCTCTTGAGGTTTTGGGGCCTTTCCTCTACTTCCATGCAGTGCTCCTGACTTTCTCAAGTAAGGCTTGGTACAGAAGCTGAAGCAGTTAGTCTAAAGCAGGTTTCAGACTCCTGTGTGTTCAAGATTTGCAGTCTGTTTCTCTGTTACAGATGTAATTGAATTGTTAGAAATAAAGAATGAGCAAGTTTGAAGTTTAAAAAACCCTCCCAAATCCATTGTCTGGGGGGTTTGCTCTAATGTTTTAACCTGACAGAAAGGAAGGATGTAAAAGCACTTGTAGGATAAGTTAAATCTGTTTGCATATCAGTGGGTGGTGTTTCTCTTTGTAATAAAAGCATCCATTATAAGTACTGTGTTTTTATGGGGGAAACCTAGTGCCTATAGTATAAATGAAGCCTGTAGAAGTGCATGGGTCGTGTTTCTTGCTGCATGCTTGACACTGCTGGCAGCAACTTTAAATGTGTTCTACCCTTGAGGGGAAGACCTCAGCCTGGTGCTGTGGGACCTGTTTGGTCTCTGATGCTGAGGGTGAGCTCTGGAAGAGTGGGGTGGCAGTTCCACCATGGCTGTTTCTTTCCCACAGGTGTTCTCTGTGATACTAATCTGAGGTTACATAGATCATCTCCTCTTAGTTTTGTTAATCTATTCCATTGTGGAGGATTTGTGATACCGATACTGCAGCTGTATTGTGGGTTGGGATCAGAATGTCATGCGTTTTGACTGAGCTGGGAACAAGCTTGTTGGATGTGACAGATTCCCTGTATCTCTGATTTATTTTATCATTAATTTTTGGCCCTTGTTTGAAGATTGTTGAAATAATGCCCTAAATCCATTTTTCACATTATTTGACTTTAACCCAAGCACAAGCTGGTGCACTTTGGCAGATTTCCTCCTTAAAGTGAAGTTTTCCTTACAACATCACTTTTCTTGTTGAGGTTTATATACACTGAGCTGTCCCAGCTGCGGCTCTGCTGGTAGATCTAATGATTAACTGTTAAAACTGGAGGGCTTTTTTCCCCACCTTGGGATGCAGGGTCACCAGGGAATGAGTTTGTGTTCTAGATGAGAACTACATTTGATGTCGCTGGTTTAACTTTCAGGTCTGGAAGGTGAACGTCCTGCACGCCTGACTCGGGGAGAGGCTGACAGGGACACGTACAGGCGCAGCGCTGTTCCACGTGAGTGTCCATCCTCTTGCTGGGTTAACATGGGGCTGACCCTGCTGTTTGTGCAGCTTATCTCTTTGGGAGAATTGCCTTCAGTATTGGCCCCTGTTCAAGAAAAACGGGAAAATTAGACTCTTAGTGTAGCATGGGCACTTGCACAACAGAGTTCACCTGCATCTGCGCATAGATAGGAGTCTGATCTTGCATTTTGTCAGCCTGCACCATGGGCTTTTCTCTGGGGTGGGTTCAGTAACTCTCGTAACAGTCTCAGTAACAGCAGTTTTACTTGGCTGTGTTTAGCCTTAGTTTTAGTCATTTTTGGTAAAGGTTAAATTGCAAGCAGGAACACTGTACTTGGGGAGCGGATTCTTTGGTTAGTAACTCATTCTTCTTTCTCTTCAGCTGGTGCAGACAAGAAGGCTGAAGCCGGTGCTGGAGCAGCAACTGAATTCCAGTTTGTGAGTATTTGCAGTCAGTGTTTGTTTCCTTTATTGAAGCTTTGATTAGGAGAAACTGGCTAGGTGATACCTGCATGCTATTCAGTGTGATGCTTCTCAGGTGTTTGGCTCTGATTGTTTAAGGGAGGCTGGCAGCTGTGCTACCCTTTATGCCCAGCTTCCATATCACATTCCTGTTGGGGAAACTATGTGATGGCTGTCACACTGCTGTGACAAGAAGCCAGTGACACGTTTAAGAAGCAGGCTGAGCTCTCTGGAGGAAATGCATGAATTCAGACTTCAGAAATAGAAGAGTTCTAGACATGATCTGCCGAGCTGTTTAGGATGGGTTGGTTAACTTGTGTCAGGAAGCTAGTTTCAAACAGGTCAGAGTTAGGCTATGCTTGGAGCAGGGGGTACTTAAGAAAGTAATGTAGAGTGGAAGAAAGACAGCTCGTTTGTGATACTGGTGCTTCTGGCTGCTGGGTGTTTGCCACTGTCACTTGCTTAATAGTGACTTCTAATGCTCTTCTTTTTCTGTTGCAGAGAGGTGGATTTGGTCGTGGACGTGGTCAGCCTCCTCAGTAGAACTTCCTGCTCATGTTTTGTGTATAATAAAATAGGTGAAAATGCCACCTGGGTTGCATCACTGTGTCTTAAGCACATAAATCTAGAGCTTGCATAGCAGAGAAGTGACTCAAACCTCTGGCATGTGAAACAACAGCAGTGAAATAACTTGTGATTAGAAAACAGGTTATAGAGAAGGAACTTTGTAGGTTTGGTCCTTAGGGTTTTCCTGGTGTGTGGAGGTGTTAGTAACGGGGGGGAGTGAGGAGCCTTAGTTCATGGCAGCACTGCAGGCAGTTCTCAGCCCCGGAGGATGCTCATTTCTAGTAATTCCAGTGATGCAGGAAAGCAGGGCTGAGACAACGCTGTTTTTCAGAGAGTTTTCATCAAGTTCAGCTGTGTCAGCCCCTGTGAATCGGACACAAGCAGCGCAGGCGGGCGAGCACGGCCTTTATCCCACTTGTGAATCGCTGCGTTAATTCATTGTGGCTCCAGAGAGGTGGGTGTTGGTGAGAGCGAGGCGCAGGGCAGGCGCCCTGCAGTGCGCTGCCCACCAGCAGGTGTCACTCGCTGGCTAATGATGGGCTGATGCTAGGAATGGGTCTCTGTAGCCTGGTAAATGGTATAATATCCTAGATGTGAACCCAGGGGGAAGAGAGTTTGTTCCAGCCCTGGTTTGGGATGAGGGAAGTGGTGGGCATGGGATTTATTTCTTTCTGGGGGAGTTTGTTTCTTACTAGTTCATCCTCCTGTATAGCAGTAACGTTTACACTTGCTAGTATTCATTTAGAGTTGTGATTCTGTTTGGGAAGCAGTGATGTGTTAAGCAAAACGTTTAGCCTCATGGAAAAGTAGGCAACTATTTCACATTACTTGGAGTATTCCAGTGTGTGGTGGTCGGTATGAAATGCCACCTACTTTCTAACAGAATATTTGACTTATTAAAGGGAAGATCCAAACAAGCAGGTAAAAATGGCTTTTGTTTTGTGGTGAAGAACCCCAGCCTAAATAGACTTCCACAAGGAAAGTATTACCTCCACAGCTTTAATCTACCAGTCTCTGAACCTGCTGGTGTGGGGTAGGGAGCGGAGCCTGTCCTCATCCTCGCAAAGCTTGTGAAGTGTTCAGCCACCTGAGCTGATGGGGCCGAGGGGCACGGCTGGTCCATGGCACCTCCTTTCCAGATGGAGCCTCCAGTGGGATCCAGACCTTTGTGTTCCACCCTGTACGGAGTCAGAAGATTACAAAGGCTCCAAGCCCTACCCTCCGTGTCTGTCTCTGTTGTGCAGTGGAGGATGCTGAAGCCAAATCAGCACCGGGCAAATGCTCTTCAGGGACACGCTCTCCTTGGCCAGGGTTTTCCTGCTGGGGGAGCACACGGAGCTGCGGCTGTGGCACCCCTCGGCCTGGTGCTGAGCCCTGAGTGCGGTGTCTGCAGCGGGGCGATGCTGATCCTGGCTGCTCGGCCGTGGGACCTGGGAGTGCCTGCGGTGCTGGGGGTGCATGCGAGTGAGCTCCCTCCCCATGAGGCTCGGTGCAGAGGAGCGGCTGCGGGGTGCGGAGCCCGGGGGCTGCCCCGCCGTGTCCTGTCCCTTCCCGTCCCTTCCGCTCCGCTCCTGCCGCGGGGTACAATGAGACCCCCGTAACCGCGCTCCGCCACTGGCGTAAACCGCCCCCCCCGCCTTGCGCAAGATGGGCATTCTTCCCTTCCCGGCGTCTGCGCTCTTTGCGTAGCGCCGCTGTCAAAGCGGAGCCATGTGCGCGGCGGACTCCGGGAGCCGGCCTTGCCCCGGCGCCTTTTGCGTAACTGCCAGGGCGCCCAGCACGCAGCCGCCCGCCGGCTTACGAGCAGCCGTCTTATTCTCGAAGGCGGCCTGCGCCGCTGGCGCAGAGGGCTCGCGTCGAGGTGGAGGCGTGGTGGCGCCGTCTGCGCGGGGCGGGAGGGGGGGGGGGGAGCGATTCTGGAAGCCGGGTTGCGCCGTCTGCGTGGCGGGCGCACCGCGAAGCAGCAGGGGCTAGCCGCCACCTCCCCCGCCCGGCGCCTCTACGCCGTTTGCGTAGCGTGCCCCAAGATGGCGTCGCGGTCGTCGTCGGCGGTGGCCGGAGCGCTGGCAGCGGCGGCGGAGCGGCTGGAAGTGAAGGGAGGGATGAGGCGGGCGAAAGGCGGCAGCGCGTAGCGGGCGGCTCCCGGCTGCGGGAGACAGAGCGAGACCGAGACAGAGACTGTCGCGGGGAGGCGGCGCCCCCTTCCGTGCCCCCCCCCCCCCCCCTCCTCTCCCCGTCTTTCCCCGCCCGCCCCTCGCGGGAGCCCCGGCGGGTCCTGCCCGCCCTCGCCCTCTAGGCCGCGGGCCTCGCCGCGCTCCGGCCCGACCCCGCCGCCCCTCGGAGCGGAGGATGATGAAGCTCAAGTCCAACCAGACGCGCACCTACGATGGGGACGGCTACAAGAAGCGGGCGGCCTGCCTGTGCTTCCGCAGCGAGAGCGAGGAGGAGGTGAGGGCCGGGGCTGGGATGGGGGCCGCAGCGGGGCTGTTCTCCTTTAGGGTTGACATGAGGCGTTGCTGTAAAAGTTGGTGTTTCCTTTGCTTCTTCATTTCTCTCCTCTAAACACGAGAAGAATGCTCAGTGAAAGGCGCTGTGCGGTGGGGTGGTGGAACAGTCTGGTAAGGAGCGCTGTGGCACGGGATGGGGTTTGGCAGCGGAGTGGACCGACCACGCTGGCAGCACTTCAGTCCAGCACATCACATGAGATGGGAGAGGAAACCTGACCTTGGATTTATAAAAAGAAACTGGGATAAAAGGGGACTGATGGAGTGCCAGAAGTTGCTGTCCAGAGAGGCTTGGGAGGAAGTGGGAATTAAAGGTGGATTGGTTCGTTTGAGAGCAGCTGTGTTGCTAAGATGTTGTGTTGCCCGTGGAGTTAAAAAGAGAAACTTTGCTTGGATGTGCTGTGTTTCACTATCCTTGGTTTGATATCCTCTTAGCGTGGGCACGGAGGGCTCATGGCCATGCTTCTTCTGGAGTCAGGTGTGCTTCATTTCACTGAGCGGCTGTGTTAAAGCCTTTGTTCTCCTGATTATCATATTTGTAGCTACAGGAAATCGGAAGGGAATGCACACACTTCACTGCAGGGAAGTAAATTACCATACTGGCGGGTTACTATTTAACGTGAGGAAGGAGGCTTGACAAACCCTTTGGAGCTGTGCTGTCATGGTGAAGCGTGTCAACATTTCAAGTATCAATGGTCTGAAGTGAAAACACTGTGTTTGGGTGCAGTGTTCTTATAGCTGGTCCCTTCCCACTGACCTTCAGGACATTTGTGGTTCTTTGAACAAACTATGGAGAAGAGCATAATTGTGTTGTAAGGATACTGGGCTTAACCAGCATGGGTGTTTGCAGGCATCTGAGTTTCCTGATGGGGGTTTTACACAGTTTGTAAGGCCAATGTGGCAGTTCTTCTCAAGAGTTAGATGCTTGGCCGTGTTTGATTGCAGTATGGGTGAAGCTAGAAATGTAATTTTAATGGCCACTCGATGCAGTCAGCCTTTGACTGGTGGTCACTCTTTATTTTACAACATCACACGGGCTCTAACTTACCCCATGGTCTCTTGCATCTCCTGGGCAATGGAACTGGTGGCCCTTATGGTGTTGGTGATGCAAAGGTTTGTTAACGTGGTGGTTTCACAGTACTGAGCCAAGATGGTTGAAGAAGGAAAAGTAAACTCATTCCAAAGAGCCATGGAGGCTCTTGAGCATCTTTATCTCCCTTGAGCTTTGCTCAGTGTTAATGTTTGGCCTTGTCTTTGATCCCCCCAGATCATCAGGTGGTGTGGTGAGCTGTCCTGTGACACAGGAAGGAGCATTAACTGCTTTGTAAGTGGTGCAGTGTGGAATGTAGATTGATGTCCCACATGCATGATGTGCTTCTTTGTGAGGGAGCCACAGAAATGGTGAAGCAATGAATGACAGTTTTGTTTGAGTTTGAAGTGGCCTCCTGAAGACATCTCGCAGCCTTCCAAACACCATATTTCTGTAGGGTCTCTGTGTGTTTAATGCAGAGCTGAAACTGCATCCTGTGTTCTCATCTCACAGAGTGGACTTTTTGAGCAGATGCGTTTCAGAACGTGATGATGGAGTCACGCTGAATGGGCTCCATTCGCAGATACTGCTCTTGATCTTGGTCAAAAGGTTGAGAAGCCATTTGAGTTATGCTATTGACATCAGCAAGCAGGAAACCTTGGGTTTTATTCATTTATCATTATTTCTTAGCTTTCTTTTCATTTGTTGGCACTTAGTTAAACTTTAAGTCAAGAGAAGTCTACTTGTTTAATCTTACTGCTACTTGCTCTTTTTCAATGACAAGAAAGGTGTTGCCTGTACACATTTAATGATACACTTCAGCATATCTGAAAAGATTTCTTGGTTGGTTGTTTTTTTTTTTCCTCTTGGAGAATAATAACTTTTTTTGGTGCCACTGACATGTTATTATTGATTACTTCTGTTTAAATAGAAATTGAGATCTGTTTGAAAAGGGGGGGGGAACCAAACCCAGAGTATGTTAGTTACAGATCTAGTAAAAGCTTTCTGTTAAAAAAATAAATAGAAAAGGCATGCTTTGATAAATAATTTAAACTTGCTGTATTAAAGTGGTATTTTTTTCCTAGGACTGGCTGTTTCTGGTTACTTTTAAGCACTCAAAGAATAGTAGAGCTGAACTCTTGAGTTTCTTCTTCATTTCCTGCTATGAATTTAAAACCACACAAGTTTTCTCCCTTTTTCAACCCTGAATTAGTTCCTTAATGAGATAATTTCAAAAGAACAAGAAGAAATAAGAAGAATCCTGTTTCCTTTTCCAGAGCAGGCTCTTTCTTTTTAGGTGTTTACCCCCTAACTTTCAGTTCATAGATTTCATTTCCTTTCCAATCTCAGCAACCAGTGGAGATTGCTAAACCAGCACGTCTTTGGTTAGACGTTACATTTGCAAAGAAAGGTTCTTAACATAATAATGCTTACTTTGATTCTTTTTTAGTTTTGAAGTGCTTTAGTTTTTCCTTATGCTGCTGGAAGGTTGCACATTTTCCCTGTATTGAGTTTGGAAGCTACTACTTTTGGGCATGATGAAAGAAGCTCTGGAACGTTTCTGGAAGACCAAACATTGGCTGAAAAGGTGTCTTTGTGACAATATTCCTTTAAAAAGCAGTACAGGGAGAGTTCATTTAAACGTGGATCTCAAATAGAGCAAAAAAAAGTACGTCTCTTAATTGGCCTGTGTGGAAAAAATCTGCATCTGTGTTGTTTCCTAAACAGCAAAGGCGCTGCAGTGTGGTTGGTGCCTCTTTGGGCAGGAGGGAGAACAGGGGAAGCAGCAGGATCCATTCAGAGTGTGAACAGACTTCAAAGGCCCTTTTGGCAACCGAACGGCAGGATCCTGCTATTTTCATCTTTTAGGAGAAACTCCCTTGATATTTGCTGCTTCTGCAGCAGTGGGGAAGGAGAACGTGCAGATCAAGAGATCCCAGGCTTGTGTTACCTCCGAAATCACTCCTCTTACTGCGTGTGGTGTCAGTGCCTCTCAGTATTGCTATTATGGTGTTATTTTTAAATAACACAAGTATATTTTTTATGTGTAGACCAGCTGTTTCGCTGAGGAAATGTGCCAGAAAATTTCACTGATGTCTTACTATTAAGAAGCAGATGGAAGCCTGCTCAGTGGCAGCATCTCTGCTTTATACTTCAAAATAAATCAAAAGGAACCGTTTGGCTTTAAGTCCCGCACTGGTCCAGCTACAGGTTTAAGCATGCCTGCATTGTATCTGGTGAAAGGCCAAGCTGCTCATTAACAACTGGTATTTATAAAGACTTTTTTTGGAGGAAATGCTTTGGAAAGAATAGGATCCGGGGTTGGTCATCTTTTCTTAATTGTGAATGAAATCTAAATTGAGAGGAGAAAACAGAACTTTCACACAGGGTCTGCCGAGGGCCAGCACGCTCATCAAAGCTACATTTATGTAGCCCCACAGCCTCTGTTGGGGAAGGTAATTTGAATGCAAACGAACCCTTTTCTTCTTGCTTCTGCTGGGTCAGTTTTAAAGCAAGCTGAGATGTAATACAGCAGTTCTCAACTTTTGACTGTAGACACACAGGGATGATCACAACAGTGTTCCTGGCCATCCTTTGTGCGTTTGCTCCAATATAAAAAGAACAATAGCTAAGCCCACTTGGAGTACTTCAGTGTTGGGGTATAAAGGGAGCCCACATCGTGTGGTCATTGAACCTTCCATGGAATATAGCCTTACAGTCTCTGTTCTTATAGCTTGGCTTGACTCTGTGTGTTCCCTTCAGCTACATAAAAGGGTTGTGGTGGAAACCCAATTAAAGTTCTCCCTGTCTGTTGCTAACACATTACCACATCTCCAGTAGGATATAGGCCAGTACAGTAGGATATAGGCCAGTAAATGTTTCTCTTGCTTGTGCTTCTCCAGTCCCTCTCAGCTGTGCCTGTAGCAAGGTTTCTCGACCTGCAAGAGCATAAACCTCTAGCTTTCATCTTAAAAAGGGTTTAGCTTTTCCATGAATAAACAATTTTAGAAGCACTTCCATGGTCTCTTGTACTTTCCCAAACTGGGGGAGGATGCAAATTGTTAAACTTTCACTTAATTTCCTGGAAGCTCTGTAAGCTGTTGTGAAACTGAAGAACTGAGGCAGTTTTGTTCTGCCACAACTCAAGCAAGTGTTGAATATGGAAAGAGAAGGGAGTCTGCTGCAGCCCTGCTTTGATGAGATGGACCCAGCAATGGTGGCTGCTGCCTCTTCTCCTCTGAAGAATGCATCTTTGACAGCTTCAACTCAGATCCATTTATTGCCTGACCAGAGGCTGTAACTTATTTTCCCACCTTTCATAGAATCATAGAATAGTTCGGGTTGGAAAGGACCTCAAGATCATCCAGTTCCAACCCCCCTGCCATGGGCAGGGACACCTCACACTAAACCATCTCACCCAAGGCTTCGTCCAGCTTGGCCTTGAACACTGCCAGGGATGGAACATTCACAGCTTCCCTGGGCAACCCATTCCAGTGCCTCACCACCCTAACAGGAAAGAATTTCCTCCTTAGATCCAAACTTCCCCTGTTTAAGTTTGAACCCGTTACCCCTTGTCCTATCACTACAGTCCCTAATGAAGAGTCCCTCCCCAGCATCCCTATAGGCCCCCTTCAGATACTGGAAGGCTGCTCTGAGGTCTCCATGCAGCCTTCTCTTCCTCACTCTGTGTTCTGTCTCCCCTCTTTAGTGGCTGTGCGTTTTGGCTTGGTGTGTTTAATCGTATGCTTGGTTCCCTGACAGGGTTCATCTCGGCACCGCTCGGATGTGCTGCTGGAGTGAGGAGGCAGGTACAAGCAGTTGGGGTGTACCAGCAGGTACTGCAGCCAGACAACCTCATTTATCCAGGGATGGGGTCTCAAGTTCTGGAGAAGCAGCTCTTTCCCTTCTCAGTT